ACCTCGGATAAGCGTGTTTAAGGTTCGTACTCGACCTTAAATGATTTTATTAAGGTTCGAACTCGACCTTGGATAAGAGTGTTGAGGTTCGTGTTCGACCTCAAACTTTAACGAGGTTCGGACTCGACCTCGGATAAGCGTGTTTAAGGTTCGTACTCGACCTTAAATGATTTTATTAAGGTTCAAACTCGACCTTGGATAAGAGTGTTGAGGTTCGTGTTCGACCTCAAACTTTAACGAGGTTCGGACTCGACCTCGGATAAGCGTGTTTAAGGTTCGTACTCGACCTTAAATGATTTTATTAAGGTTCGAACTTGACCTTGGATAAGAGTGTTGAGGTTCGTGTTCGACCTCAAACTTTAACGAGGTTCGAACTCGACCTTAGATTTGTGCAAAGTGAGTTGCATCCGGGTTCAAATTCGACCTCAAATTTTCGTTAAATAATTTTTGTGAAGGTTCGAATTTGACCTTAATCATACCGAGGTTCGAACTCGACCTCAGATTCAGCACAAAACATAAAATAATGCGAAAATAACATGAGTTGAATAGAATGGGTTGTTTTATTGATAATGTCATTGTGCCTCGTTAAAAACCCTGTCAGTCAAAGACAGAGGCGGGAAAAGAGTGCACAACTCGTTCATACAAAATTAGTTGAAATGGAACTTAAGGAAGACTACGGGGATCGGTCCTCGAGCCAAGATCAGTGGCCTCCCTGCGAGTGATGTGAGCTACGGTGGGGGGATCCCCCTTGCTTTGCTTGCTGGATGAGGAGATCTTCAGACTCTCGGTGTAGCACTGCCGAGCCGTCTTCTGATTTGCTTTGACGGAGATGATTTTACCGTCATTCCCTGGGAGTTTCATGGTGAGGTGTGGGGTGGACACTACTGCTCCGAGTTGATTCAAGGTTGGCCTCCCGATGATTATGTTGTAGGAAGTGTTGGCTTCCACGATGAGGTACCGAACCATGACCCGCCTTGTGTCCGGAGGTGCTCCGAAAGTTGTCAATAGGTCTACGTACCCCCGAGTGTGAACTTGCTCTCCTGCGAAACTGACTAGGGGCTTAGTGTGAGGTTGGATGAGAGAATCGGGGACGTCTAACCTGAGGAACGTCGGCCAGTACAGGACGTCGGCCGAACTCCCTTGGTCAATGAGTGTCTTCTGCACCTCCCAGTTGGCTACTTCTACAACGATGACCATGGGGTCATCTTGGTTAGGGCTGACACCGGCATAGTCCTCGTCAGAGAAAGAGATCGGCGGTGAGCTTTGGTGTGAGGCCGAGGTGGTAGAGTGGACGTAGTTGATGCTCCGCAGGTTCTTCTCCGGGCCGAGCTGCTAGCGCCTCCCCCAGCGAAACCACCTGCAATTGTGTTGATTACTCCCCGTAAGGGAGCTGACCCTGTCTCCTGGCTTATCTCAGCTTGTACTGCACTGCCATCATTTTGTTGGGAGCCCAAGGGTTGGTCCGTGCGAGCTCCCGAACCACGACCTCTGCCCCGTCCTCGTCCGCCATAGCCCCCTCGATGACCCTACTGTCGCTGGACGTACTAGCCGAGGTGACCTGCCTGGATGAGCTCTTCGATACGGTCCCGAAGCGTGCGACACTCCTCAATGGTGTGACCGTGGTTCCTGTGGTACCGACAGTGTTTGGACTTGTCGGCACTGTTGGGAGTGTGACCTGGTGGTGGAAGGGCGAGTAGGTTGTTGTTGCTGGCTTCCTCCAGGATGTGGACTCTGGGTGCATTCAGGGGAGTGTAGAAGTCATATCTCCCCCCTCTGTTTGCCCTAGTCGACTTCTTGAACTGGCTGTCGTTGTTGACTTTGATTTTATCTTTGTGCCCCTGTTCTGGCTTCGCTGGTCCTTTTTCGCGAACATGGTCACGGAAAGCGGAGTGTTCCTCCATCTAGATGTAGCCCGCCGCGCGAGCGCGAAGTTCGTCCATGTCGCGAGGGGACTCACAACATAGGTTGTCGACGAATAGTCCGGGCTTGAGTACCATAAGCATGGCATGCAGGGTGACCTCGGGGTTCAGATTTCTGATCTTAACCGAGGTGGCGGCAAATCGCTCCATGAACGCCCGGAGTGGTTCGTCGTCGTTCTGTCTGAGGCTAGCCAAGGCGGCCGAAGTGACATGGTGAGGTCGGCTCGTTGCATACTGTGCTGTGAACCTTCTGACTAGGGTGCCGAAGCTATCAATGGACTTGGCAGGCAGCTGGGTGTACCAGTTGAGCGCGGCCCCCTTGAGCGAGGTCGGAAAAACCCTACACAAAATAACGTCATTGTTAGTGTAGAGGTTTACCTGTGTTGTATACAGGTCGATGTGCTCATCCAAGTCTATTGTTCCGTCGTAGCGATCGAGGTGGAGAGGCTTCCACCCATGAGGGAGTGGTGTCTCCATGATGCCATCCACAAAAGGGTGGCGGTGGAAGGTTGCTTGATCTCCTACGACATGAGGAGGGGCCTTGCTGACTTCATGGGCCGACTTGTGCGTCAGTGCATGAGATCGATGCGTGGCAGGCCGTTGAGTCGATATCCTAGTCGCGGTCCGAGGTTGAGAGAATGAGTGCTCTTCTTCCTCATTGTGGTTGCTCGTATGAGGAGGATGATCAGAGTGTCGCCGAGGGAGCTGGGCGCGAATCCGCTCGTTTTCGTGCGTAACGCCGCTAGGTCAGCCTCGTTAGCGGTCCGTATTGCAGCTAGATCAGTTTCGTGCTTGGCACGCATGTTCTGCAGGTCGGCGTTGTGTTGTTGCCGCATCTGCTCGACCTGATCAATCAACCTCCTTAATGCTGCTTCGCTATCCATGGTAGCTGTGCGATCTGCGTTGTCTGTTGCACGTCTTCTATGGCTTCTGGTGCAAACCATAAGCGTGGCCGATAAGAGCTGTCTTGATCGGCCCCACGGGGGCGCCAAATGTTCTTACCGGAAATCTGCTGTAGAGCTGATCCGCCAGGTAAGATCGGTGAGCCTCCTTCACTGGTACGTTGATGCTCCAAGATGGGGGTGGTACCTGCAAAAGAGACTCCAATGCTAAAGTTAGTGTTTGTGGGAGTATAAGTCTCGTATAAGTAATGCACGTACCTTGGTGTGATTTGGGGTTGCCTTAGGCCTTGGGCTTGAGATACGATGTAATATGATTAGATAACGGATCTCGTCTGGGGCGAGATCCTCGGGAATCAGTTACGATTCACTTAAATGTTGATGTCACGCAATGCGCGTCCGAGGTCGGCTTGTGCTGTGGTGCTGAGCTCGGAGCTCGGCTTCGCAGTACGGATAGTACAATTAGTATATTTAAAATCTATAATTGTAAGAATTTTGAAGAGCTGCTTTTGGACATCGTTGCTCGTCCACATGCTTTTGAACTCAAGCAAGAAACACTTCGTGCCACTAATTCTTGCTCGTCATCCTTGTCGGCTACAAAATATTGGAGAATGGGCATCCTTTGACTATTATCAAATATTTTCCAAATTTTTATATTAGTATAGATATATATTTTTTGGAATAATAAGTGTAAGGTTAAAACCCTTATTTGGTTCCTTATAATATTTTTTGTTTCAATTTAGTTCTATTTTAATTTTTGGTTTCAATTTGGTCTCTAATAATTTAAATTATTGTAATTTGAAACTTCCGTCCAAATGATTTAAATGGAGTTAACTGTTAGTCACGTGGATGCTAGGGTATACTGGAACCAGAACGGCCCGTTCTGTTTGCACATGTTATGTGTTAATTTTGCAACTGGAACAGGTCGTTCCAAATGCAAATTTAACACACCACGAGTGCAGCAGAACGGGCCGTTCTGAAACCAGAACGGATCGTTCTGATTTTAGAACGGACCATTCTAGTTTCAGAACGGGTCGTTCCGGTTTCAGAACGGACCGTTCCAGAATGCCAACTTCGTTGACCAAAATGCTACAATGTGATTCAAAAATTAAAAAAAAAATTCATAACATATCATAAATTCAAAGACAGAAAACATGGTTCAGAAACTGAAAACAAAAATTCAGAACATAATATATACTAAAAAGTTCAAAGAAATTACTGAGAAAGGAAATCATCTGGGTAACGCTGAAGGGAAATCCTAAACCACAAAAATTCAGTTGTACCTCCTCAAGAACAAGTTGTTATTGTTGGGGTACATTGTCAATGACTTCAAGGGAAAATACCGTTTCGTTTCATCCTTGACTGTATAGTGTCAATTTGGTAATAAGTGGTTCACTCCAGTTTGACTAACAATGAAATAAAACATGCTACCATTATCCTTAGTGATACACTGCATCATCCTTAATGATACACTGTATAGCCCAAATGTTTAGCAATTGAAGTTATCAATCCTCATTGACAATATTACCAAATCTAGTGTTTGAAATGCTTTGTACCTTGAGTCTTTTTTCGTGCACGATTCACAATCATGAACTATAATTATCGACCATTCTGGAACCAGAACGGCCCGTTCTGGTTTCACTCTTGGTGTGTTAATTTAGTATCTGGAACGGCCCGTTCCAGGTACAAAATTAACACACCAATAGTGCAACCAGAACGAGCCGTTCTAGTTTCAGAATGGACCGTTCTGTTCCAGGTGTATTCAAGAAATTTGGCATCTACCTACGTATTTACGTGGTATCTACGTGGCATTCACCTGACGTCCACGTGATCAACAATTAATTTCGTTTAAATCATTTAGATAAAAATCCTAAATTACAATAATTTAAATTATTGAAAACTAAATTAAAACTAAAAATTAAAATAAGACTAATTTAAATTAAAAAAAATATTATAAAAGATGAAATAAGATTTTTATCATGTAATGAAAAATGAAAAATGGAAATGATGGGGCGCCGCCTCTATCCGCTGAAATCATAATAAAATAATAGCATAAAAATTATGTACAACCAAACCAATGCCGTGTTTTGACTGTGGATTAAGTCACATCATCGAAATTGAAAACCAATAATACGTAATCATATCTTTTACTTTTTCACCATTTTCTTAGTTCAAATTTGCATATATTAATTCTTTTTCATGGCAAACAAAAGGACACAACCGTGGAGACAAATCCTACTACTGACCCTTGTAACTTGTTGTTATCCTTAGTGTCATTACACTGTGCACGGTTCTGTCTCAAAACCCACGAATTTGAAGCTTTGAGGAAGCAACATGTGGTTTCTAATCATGTCTCGGTCCAAACTAGTCTATGCTCTAATCTTGGGGTTTGTGGCTTTGAATTGCGTCCAAGTTTTTGAATCCAATGCTCAACTCATACCGCAAGATGAAGGTACGCTTCCATGATTCCTTTTGTTGTGAGTTTTGTGTTGATTGGAATTTGGAACAACAAAAAACGAAGTGAACTATTTTTTTTTTTTTGAAACTTGCTTTTCATAACTCAACATAGAAGAAAAGAAACTGCCTTTGAGGCTTTAACCACCCTTTTAACCGTTCTCACTTGTGCAATAGATGAACATGGAAATTAAAAATTGTGAAAAGCACTTCATTTTTTTTTTCTTCCCAAATAGAGAAGTTGGGGTTCTAACAAGAATTGAATGTTTGCATCATTGTCCCTGTATACATGTGATTGAATTCACTGCTTCCGATTCTAGAATTGAGTTTGTTCATGAAATTTTCAATGCTGTTTTTTTTCCTATCTGGGTACTTTTGATGGCTGCTGGCAATAGATTCTTTTGTGAGGATATTCCTCTTACATTCTCAAATTCAATTCATTTTTTTTATTGGGTCTTTGAGTTCATCTGCTAGTTAGTAATGGTGGATTCTTCATTATTTCTAATTTTGGCTTCATTTTTTTTTTTCTGAAATGATTTAAAATTTGGGTTTTTCTTTGTTTAGTTATTCATCGCTTATCAATGTTTTTCATGATCCAATAAGAGAATGAACAATCAATCCACATTGATCGACATCCCACGTGAAATTAGTTTGGCAATTGGAGTCTTAATTAAGAGTGGAGGACCACTACTTGTGTTTTTGTTTTTGTTTTTTTTCTGATAAGACCATTGGTTATAATAAAATCAATAAACTCAGTGGCTCGATGCGTGAATCATCCAATTGATATTGACATAATATCGTACGATCATGATTCAGAAGATATTTTACAATTATGTACTGTTGAAAAGGATGTCTTTTAGTGATACCCAAATAGTGACATTTTTGAACAAGCATTTTGCAAATTGACATGTGATAGTCATAAATTCTTAAAACACCCCACTGGGTTTGGCCAATGGTCATAGGGGATTAGAAAATATTTCTTTTATTATTATTATTATTATTATTATTATTATTATTATTATTATTATTATTATTATTATTATTATTATTATTATTATTATTATTATAGTTCTCAACATTGACATTGCAAGTTGAAAATTTCAATTAGAAATTATTGACAGTAATAACTAGGGGTGTAGACAGTTTAGCATTAATGTCGAAGCAGAGGGAAACAATGGTTCTGCTTTCAATTGCAACTTGCTGCAGCCCATACTTTGTACAGATAACACTAGTTGGTGAAAAAACTTAGATACAGTTATTATTATTTTTGGATTAGAGTTAGGATTTTATTTTGATATTATGTACTTATTATATATAATAATATATAATGTAGGTTTTATTTTAATATATTTATATATTATTGAAATAAAACTTTAATATTAATTGAAAAATTATGAAAGTGTACTTAAATTTTCTTGTTTAATTTCTGCTCCTTTTCATCTTACATCATTAGAGGCTAGAAATTGGTTAAATAAGTTAAATTGTTAATATGATTTTTATATATTTTTTATAATACTGATGACACTTATAAATATTTTCGAAACAGATTTTCCCGTGAGTATCACAAAACAGAAAAAACAACACTTAAAACCGATGAAATACATGTGGAAATAGGTCTTGTCATATGTCAAGAGCCTACTACTTAATCTATACTAAGGTTAAATTAAACTTTATAAAAAAAAAGTAGTATTGAAAATAAAAAATAATAATTTACACTTATTAAAAAACTTAGATAATGTCATATAATTATGTCAAACTCATTTTAAAAAAAAAGTATTTTTTACAGGTTAAAAATATTTTTTTATAAATTACTTTTCGTTAAAATTTGATGTAAAATTAAAAAATATTTAAAATAAAACCTTAATCAAATAAAGATTATTTTAAGGATTGTATATTTAAATTAGGTGAAATTAGTTTTAAATTTTTTATATTTGAGGTTGATAAACATTTTTTTTTTACTTGTATTTGAGATTGGGGGAAATAAATTATATGATATAGGTCTTTCAAAATAGAAATGATATATATGTACAACAAATTGCATAATAATTTTATACAACAAATGGAGACAAAGAAGGAAAAAGAAAGAAATTTAAAATACAATAAATGATGTATTAGAGAGATAAGTTGTTCAACTTGTTATATAAAAAGTTATACATTGAAAAGTCTTTAAGGCCTAAAAGACTAATCTAATAAAGTAATGGTACAGAGACAGCGATTTGTACAACTCATAGAGTGAAAAAGAGATAATTTAATAAGTAATAATAAATGATGTGATCATAAAAAAATAGACACATAAAATAGTGCTCTACAAATTGTTGTATGAATTGTATATATAGCATTTCTCTTAAATAAATATAAAATAATATTTTTTATTAGTACAATTATTATATATATATATATATATTAAATATTAAGCATGTTTACCTATATAAAGTGTCAATCTTATAAGTTATTGAACATAAATTTATGTCATGTTTAGATGCTTTTGCAAAATATTTTTAAATAAGATAAGTTATAATGACAGTCAAATTAGGTCTTAAAAATATACTTATATCATATATAGTTTCTTTTTGGTAGAGAAGTAAAATTAGAGTAGATGAAAATAAGCAGGGTGAACGAAAATATGTTATAAATAAAATGTAAATAAATGTGATTGACTTAAAAGAAAATGAATGAAATAAACAAGTGAAAGAAAATAATTAAGAAATAGAATAAAATTGACTAATAGGTTCTAATTATTATTTTTTTATTTCTCTTCTCTTATTTTTCTCCTCTACCGAAAAATCTCACCTTTTTATTATTATTATTTCCTCTCCATCTTATTTACAAAGTCTACTTTGCCTATTTCTACATTTGTCCTATGTCACAAGTAGCAATGATTTTAATTTTTATAGTTTATACTTTGTCCTAGAGGTTTTCTTCATTGACCTATTAGTATATTAGACTATTTAGAAACAGTTAATTTTGTCCGATATAATTTTTTATATATGTGAAATAGATTTTAAATAGACTTACAAGTTAAGTCTGACTTTTAAAATGTTCGTGTCAAATAAAAATAAAATTATAACAAACAACAATTTAAATTTAAATCTTGAATAAATAAACTTTTGTAAGTAAATTGATGTTTGACTTAACTTAATTTCACTCTTATATTTTTATATAAGAAAATAATGTATATAGAAATATTCAATAAAACAGAAAGAGCACATATTAGATAATTTAAAATGGATAACTGTCTAATGGATCATCCATATCTATATATTAGACTTTTATTTAACAAATAAATATTTTAAGGAACATTTATTGTATAACAAAGTAGTTACTTTTGCTACTAGGATCGGCTTATTAATTGAAGAAGTTAGATGGATGTGAATTTAGGTTTTTATCTTTATCGTTTTCTTCATAATCTTTTCAATAAAAAAAATGTAACTTTATTTCTTTACATAAATTTTAAACAGAAGACTGATGCCTAAATTCAGGCAGAAGAAGCATCGGAACTTAAATAGATTTACATGAAAATATTTACTATTATAACTACTTTATGACAAATTGACCAAAGGAATTAATTAATTTAAGAATATTTAAAATAGAATTTTTTTTTTAAAATATTACGAGTACTAAATAAAAAATAGTCAAAACAATACGAACCAATATAGAAGTTTTTTTGCTGTTGAGAGAACTAATATATAAGTTAAAAAAATTATAGTTTTCACATAGGCTTCATGTTACAATAATTTTTAGATTTGAGATTGATTTGTTTGCATCATGATGAATAGCTAAATTTTATGTAGGTTCTTACATAACATAACGGATATATAGTAAAAATTATATATGAAAAGTACTTTACTTTTATACTATAGTAACCTCTAAGCTATATATATCTTAGTCTTAGGGCATTTCTTTTTTGACCATTTAAACTACCTTTTGACTATTCTATTACTTAAATATTGTGGATATAGGAAGATTCAGATGCTCTGAATGCATGAATTTTGACTTAAATTTCAAGATAAACTTATAAAAAAAAAAAAAAAAA